CTTGTCCATCCCCGACCCAGAGCCCCCCCCCCCCGCCCCTTACATTTTGCCCCTGGCCTCACCTTAGCCCTGGCCCTGCAGAAACAAACGGTGGGCAAAGACGAGGGGGCCTGTCCCCCAGCCTCAGGCAATGAGAGACCTCCGGGGAAGGCGGGGAAGGCCGTTACCCATCTCACTCTGGGTTTGGATGGGGCTTTGATGCTTCTGGGCAATGGACCAAGGCTGACGGTGGGACAAGGCCACTCCATGGCTCCCAAGGGATTTCTGGACAGCTTTTCTGGTCACACCTTCAGCAGTGCTGGCAGCCCCCTGGGTAGGACTTCTGAGACCACCAAAGGACGCCTCAGTTCTAGAAAGCCCTGTTTGCGCCCCTCAAGAGCACACACTTTTGAGGGCACTCGGGTGGCTCAGTTGGTTAAGCAGCCAACTTCGCTCGGTTTGAGCCCCTTGTTGGGCTCTGTGCCGACAGCTCGGAGCCTGGAGCCTGCTTCGGATTCTGTGTCTCCCTCTCTCTCTCTCTCTCTGTCCCTCCCCCACTTGTGCTCTCTCTCTCTCTCTCAAAAATAAACTAACATTAAAATAAAGGAACACACCCTTCTGCACAGTGCATTTTTAGCAACAGAGGGAATTTTTAGCAACAGAGCTGTGCTCACACCACTGCCCCTCCACGACCACTGATTTCGCTGGCTTCTACATCTGTTGAATCTTCTTCGTTTGTGGTTAAGCAGATTCAGAATTAGTTAAGAGGTTAGAAAATATTATCAGGGAGGAAGGGCATCAAAGGCTTTCAAAAATTATGCATTCAGATGAGGGTAGGAATCATCGTTGCTTTCCGTATTTTTAGTGTCTGTGGACAAGAATGTGTAAGTGTAAATTTCCAGCTTAAGGAAGAGTAATATAATGAACACTCTTGTGCCGGCCACCAGCTTAGGGAACAGAGTATCACCAGGACTTTGGAGGGCCCCCACCTGCCCCCCCCCGTTGTCCCCTCTCTCCTGCCAGAGGTGACTGCAATCCTGAATTTTCTATGACCCATTCCTTCCTTCCTATATATATATATATATATATATATATATCCCTAAACAATGTATTATTTACTTTTATCTGTTGTTGACATATATGAAATTCTACAAGTATTCTTGGGGGAACTTGTTTTTTTCTTCCTCATTATATTTTCGAGATTCATCTCTGTCGATTCCTTTCACTGCCGTCCAATGATCCATTGTGTTCATCCGGCCTACGGGGAACATTTGGGTTTCTGCGTTTTGCTATTAGGAGCAATGCCACGTGAACATTTTGGGGTGTGTGAGTTGGGGCTCCCTGGGAAACGTTCTTAGGGTGAAGCTGGGTGGGTGAAGGGTAGACACCTCTCCATCATGAGGTCTGGTTTAAGACCCGGGGTTTGTGGGATAACTTTCGTTCGAAGGGCCGGGAAGAGGAGGCGTGTGGTCCCTGTTTCTCTGATGTCTCAGAAGGGAGCAAGGGGCCGACTGCTGGGCGCACCGTGGACTTCATGCCAAGACGCTGCCTGTCCCCCCCGTATGTGTGAGCAGCTGCTGTTGGGGATGAGGAGTCACGGCTGGCTTTGGTGCCAGCAGCCTGACTTGGGAAGCCAGACTTGGCACCACGCTGTCTGAGAACTGCACCTGCCCGCACCCTGCCCCCTGCACCCATACCTGAGGGTTTGGACTGCCGGCCCCACCTCCCCAGGGCAAGACAGCCCCCCCCCCCCGAAGGCTGACCACCGTGGCCAGGCATTCTCAGCCTGTGGGCTCACGTTTCGTGGGACAGACCTACCTCTCTCTCCAACTGGGGGCGCTTTCTAGGGGCGTGAGTTGCTGGCCACGGCAGACCATTTTCCAGAGTGGTCGCGCCAATGTGCTCACCCACCCCTAGGGGGCGCGAGGCCCCCCTGCCTTCCCCTTCATCACTCTCCGCGTCAGTTGCCTTTTTGATTTTTCCAACCTGGTTCCCCGGGGAAGTGAGAAATCATGGTGGTTTCGCTTCACGTTCGCCTCATGACCGATGCTGGTGAGCCTCTCTTCACACGTGCACGGGTTATCCGTGCGTCCTTGTTTATTCTCTCTGTGCTCACGTCTTTTGCCATTTCCCCCGTAGGTTGTCTGTCCTGTCGTTCGTGATTTGAAGTCCTTTATATAGTCTCTCTACCAACTGAGTATGTTGCAATTCTGGCCTCCCACTTGAAGAGTGTAGTGGTTTCTTCTTTTTAAAAATTTTAAAATTATTTATTTATTTAATGTTTATTAAAAAACTTTTTTTTAATTTTATTTTTTACTTTTTAAAATTTACATCCAAATTAGGTGCAACAATGATTTCAGGAGTGGAT